CACGCTTATTTGACATCAGTTGATTTGCGTTATGCTTGTAGCGCGAAGTTTTCTCATTCTAACAAAAATGATAACGGATAAAAAGCGCAGAAGTTTTGCAACATTTTAATGTCTTGGTTTATTTTCGAAGGGTTTCTCAAAAAATTGCTGTCACTGAGTTAAAAAGTCGTTATCGCGAACCCAAATTTGTTTTTGTCTGAAAGCGCAATCGATCTTCGAACTGTCCGGATATTTCCGTGAGGGAAGTGTAGCTACTTCTAAAATCATCAAGACTTTGGATATTGGATCACGGATCCTTGATATCTTTGCAGTTCTACTTTCTTTCAGTTCATAATTGAATTTTACATTTTTTTCCATATTTTGGGCCTAGCAGTTTATTGATGATTAATTTTTCATTAGAATTAGAACATATTGTCTTTCACCTACAACCATCAAAAATCAAAACCTGTTTTACTTGATGGCTTCTTTCGAGCTCTAGACACTTCTGACTTTCTTGATAAATTTTCATTTGCGATCTTAGCTCATGAAACATTTATAGCCAAGAGGTATACATTGTAGGTGATCTCTACGTCAATTTGATGAATAAATCAAAATCAGGCCACATGCCCACTAATTCTATCACTAATACCTCATAGACCACATACCAACTAATTCAATAAATCTTATTACACTTTCCAGTGTAATTGGTATAGGCTTATATTACCATCAATCAAATTATTGCGTAGTAGTTTTTTCAACAAGTAGATTTGAACGGAAAGTTTTCATGGTGGGAATTAATCTCTGCAGGGGTACCTCAAGGATCTGTCCTGTCTCTTCATTTCACATATTCATAAATGATATTGTTGACAACGTAAAGTGTGGAATGAAGCTTAATGCTGATCACACATTACACATCCTTGTTCTCTGTAGTCGCTGCTGAAAATGCTGCCGCGCTATTGTTAAATTGTTATCTTGAAACGATAATTTACGGTAATGGAAAATGCAGTTTGATATATGGAACGGTGGACGTTATTTTTTCTTGTAGAAGATAAAATCAAAATATCCAGAATTTAGATAAAGAAATGACGAAATAGCTTCTAAAAGTGAACACAAGCACCAAAGGCTGTGTCTTCACTTAAAACTTGATTTCCAAAGTATTAGACGAGAGGGCTATCCTTAAGACACTGAGATGGATTTGTACTAGTAAATGCCGTATGAAGAGAAGTTCTTGATAAGATCTATAAACTTTAATTTCTACTGCACTTGGGTTAGTATAGTCCCATTTTTTAGAGGCACAAATAGGGAAAGACTTTACAATGAATTAGGATTGGAAACCCAGTACCATCATAATTGTATGGATTATTATGTCATTTTTATTTTCTGGGCAAAGCACCTGAATACTTTATTTTTGAGATACAGCAGCGAAATTTGAGCTTCAATCAAAGATTACAAAGAAACCTACATGAAGAGCAATTCGGTATTTCGAACTCGTATTTTAAAATGCAGTGGCACAATGAAACCTTCTTTACGGTGGCCCACAGGTGCCATGGCAAAACTTTCTTTCTCACGGCAAAACTTACTTTCTCACGGCAAAACTTACTTTCTCACGGCAAAACTTACTTTCTCACGGCAAAACTTTCTTTTTTCACGGCAAAACTTTATTTCTCACGGCAAAACTTTACTTCTCACGGCAAAACTTTCTTTCTCAAGGCAAAAATTTCTTTGAATTTAATTTATTACTTAAATTTAATTTATTTTGAAAATTTTATCTCGTTACATTGGATTCTCGGCGTCGTATTTTTTTCTCCCCTTATATTATGCCCATGCTTATTATTTCATTTCTTTATTCATTGTTATTACTATTATTCGAAAAATTAAGTATCTAGCCATCAACCCACCCTGTGAGTACGATATGATATGATATTAAACACAATACCCAATTTATAGGTTTTTTACAAGCCACAATCGAGCGTGCCAAGTGCACGTACAATATTTTTTTGCACGAATTTTATGTGCATGCCAATTTTCAACGAATTGATCTTTTTCACTGCTTTCAAAACAAAGGAATCAAAGACCTTGCATGCGGTACTGTTTCGTTGAGATAGGCATATAGGCCTAGCCTAGCCCAACCTAGATAAATTTTAGACCATTTCTGGGCTGTCTTTCTGCAAGAATTATCAAGAGAAGATGTAGGTATTCACAAATCTGCGAAGTTTAAAACGTCTAAAGCATTGATTAGATCTAAGTATCACGTACACAACATCACGTAGAGAAAGTTTTGCCGCGAGAAAGAAAGTTTTGCCGTGAGAAAGAAAGTTTTTCCGTGAGAAAGAAAGTTTTGCCGTGAGAATAAAAGTTTTTCCGTGAGAAATAAAGTTTTGCCGTGAGAAAGAAAGTTTTGCCGTGAAAAGAGCCTGTGGGCCACCGTAGTTTAACGTTTCAAGCAGAACAATTAAAATGGCAAACAATTTGCATCTCTTTATTCTAAAACTATCATAAGTTACTTTTCGAAGAATCAATATGTAGACCAGGTGCCACGACAATAATTATAAAAGTTGAATTTAATTTTTTTAAAATTCACTTTGTTACAACACGTCATCATTTGCTAACTTTTGAAAGTTGAGAAACATGCGGGTAGTTTCTGCTTTCAAAAGTCTTCTGCATTTCTACCTCCTAAATTTAAAATTGCAACGGACTGGAAGAGATGGGCGTGAAGAATTGTTCGAAATTGAAATTCTTATGTCACAAGGACAAGCATAACCCGAAAATTTACCTTCAAACGCGGTATGTAAATCATGATTCAAAAAATTGATAAAGCAGGATTCCAACACTCACAGAAACACAGTAAGTATTTACAATTTGGTTTTGAGTAGCCTTTGTTCCCTTAATGAACATATATTACGATTCCGTTTGGGCGCCCAGCACATGTTTAGAACTGATCGGTTCACGCCCCACAATACTTAGTTACCTGTGCTTCAGCAGAGATGCTCAGGACATGGTACAGTTGCAAAAAAGTCATTATGTATCAGTTTAAAAGCCTCTTCGGCTACTTTGAGCTTTTTTACATGAACAGTTGAAAGCTATTGAGAGTTTTTGCTAACTAATATTCTTGCGTTGATCTAAGCTCTATTAAAGATACCCTGGGTATCAGAAATCTGTACACTCGCTCCTGATTGGTTAATATAAGCACACCAGAACGAGAATGGGGCGCACTAGACCAGACTCTCTATTTTATTTCATATATAGTGAGTCTGGTACCCAGGAACCCAGGGTATATTAAAGACTGCATACGTTGTTCGTCAGAGTTTTTTAAAACTAAGCTGAGTCTAATGTGATATTCAGATTTAAAACAATTGAAATATGCAAAATTTTAGTTTTATGGGTTAACAGCAAAAATTGACTTGAAATTTTGCTAATTTTAAACCCCTTGGATGTGAAAGTTTCCCGTGGCTAGGTTTACAACGCTGTATTTTCTTAACAACGCAAAATCGATGTCATGTTCCACGGTAGCTTTGTGGAAAATTTATCTGCGTAGGGCTGTAGTTAAAAAAATTTGAAATTTATTGTAGCAGATTTTACACGTTATGTTTTTAATGGACCGTGGTAAAAATGCCAAATTTTCGGCTTTGGCCTAAGTTTGTTTACACTTTCCGGGGCTGTGATTGGCTCAGCGGCGAGAGAGGTCACGTGATTTAGGGCAAGCTCTCAGCCAATCAAGATTTGAGCCCTATGCTGGCGGCTCCGGTTGCCGCCGAAGGAGCAGGAAATTTTCGAATTTTGATGCTTCTAGTTCCCTGGAAAATGCACTCTTTCAAGCACATTACACTAAAGCAACCCTTTTAATCCTATTGAAAATAATTTTTTTTGCAAGCAAATTGAACAGCAGATAAAAACAACTGGTACAATTTCGCCGAGGTCTTGAGAAATACCATGTTGTCAGTTACTTCTGAAGCTAGGTAACAAGCAGCACTGGTTGTCAATTTAGATCCCTCTTTTCATCTAAGCATGCCTTTTGAATGTTAAAAGAATCTTGAGCTCATAGTGAATTGCAGTTGACGCTTCTACCGAGAAACTTTAGGGGAAATGGACACAAAACCACAATTTTACCTAAAGAGGGCCTGGATTTTTCGATTTAGTGCCAACAAGAAATCTTCAAATATTCAAATCATTGGTTTGTTTACCTTCATTCATATCAAGGAATATCATATTTAACCAACGGAGCAACTTCCTTTGCTTGATCCTTTATTGATTTTATGACATAAAGGTCTCTAAAATACCTAAAGCGTGTCTTCCACTGAGCGGATTTTACCTGAAATTTCCTATTGAGATACTATTGGGGGGTGTGACACCCCCTACACCCCCCCGGTCGCGACGCTCCTGGTGCCGCCCCTGGTGTGCCGAGGTAGAGGGCTTGGGGCTTTACACCTCCTTTTTCAGGAAGTCGTTGGTAATTCAAGGCTTTTCGGTTAATTTGAAGTTAGGATCTTAGTTTGTCGGTAATTATTGCTAATTATCGTCAAGAACGACATTTCGTGAAATTATTATCAGCGTCCAATTAGTTTAAATGCCAGGGTAAAAGGGTCCAAAACGTTTTATGCCTGGTCAAGAAGCTCTTATCTTATGACTTGTGAGAAACATATATCATACGTTACTTTGTGAATATAACAGGTACACTACAGGTTGGGTCTTACATAGCCAAATCATCTCAATCTCCATTTCAAGCCCTAATACTAGTAGCCATCAGAAAATTTGACAATTATACCCATATTGCGTATAGTTTTGATTGAATATAACTTAAGCACCCACCAGAATGTCAATAACATTTTTAGTATGAAACAAATAATTTTCGACCAACGAAACAAAGAGTGGTATTTTAAATATCGCCAACTTTTACTTTCAAATATTTATTCATATGTTTATATAGAAATTTATATCATTAGATTTTATCTTTTGAATTAAATACACTCAGTTTTGATAAAACCACTACCTTAAAGATATATGTCATAAAAGTGTACAGAATATCAAATATATTATGATACAAAGGTATTTGTAAAATAAAAGGAAATAAAGTACATTTTACTAGTCAATTACAGAAAAATTGTATTCATAGTATTTAAAACTAACCAAGTTAGGTGCTTTTTATCTTAGAATATTGTCCAGAACTTGACATTAAGTGTCATCAATTCTTAAAGAAGGAAATTACATCTTATCATGCACTGGAATACAGAGATATTGACTGATTAATAGCAATTTATTTTTTTCTATTGACGGACATATGGGAACAAGTATCAACTTCAGCTAGTCAGTAGAGATTTAAATATTATTAACAGCAATATATGCGCTCCATATAATAAAAATATAAGTGAAAATCTGGAAATGAGAGTTTTACTCTTTTCAACGTCTTTCGCAAAAGCCAAAAATTATAAATTAGACGACAAGCTTGCTAGCAGAATATCTTCTAGATGTTATACATCATAAGTTTCATTTCTCTTCTGCTACATCTTCATTTTGTTCTTCTTCAATACTGTCCGCTTGTTCCGTTTCCGATAAATTTTCTTCTTTCTCATCAAGATTACTTTTCCTATACTTGACCAATGATGGGTTGTTGACCAAAGTATAACATAAATACCATTTGTTACGAATGATCTTTCTTTTGTCAAATAGATTCAGCTCCTTGCTGAACTGCATGTCTTGCATCTCAAAGTCAATTCCCTTTGACACAGTTTCACCGTTTACAATAAAGTCATTGTTAATGATAACAGCTGTGAAGAAAATAAAATGTGTCTCATGTTAGCAAATTGCCATAAAATGATTGTGATAATACTGTTGGTGCTAATTCTGATCATGAAAATGATGATTGATTCTGATTGATTATGATGCTGATGATAGTTGATTGAAACGATAAGGATGATTGGTGTTGATTACTTGATAAATGAATTTCAAAAACAAGGGTACAGCATAGAAATCACATGGCAAACGCATCCTAACTGTGCTAAACCGGTCATTACTTGAATTTGTCTTCCACAAGCTGATTAAGCATAATGCAATACCTCTAAATAGGCGGAAATAGCTTTTTCAAAAGTCAAAGTTTTATGACGTCACGCTTAAGATCTCTATGATGGCGTTGCATGAAGTAATACCAAGGAAAGATAATATATAATGGGGCTATCAAGATCAAAGAAACAATATACCACTGAACATTGCTTAACCAAAAATAAAACACAGAACTTGCTCTATAAAAGATGACTATAAGGATAACGAATATGGTTAGACTTGGTTACGTTATCATAGGTGCTGTTTCAACATTCATCTACAACATATCAAAACTTTACAGAACTAGCGCAACCAACCCATTGAAGCTCTTTTTCTTTTTACTGCCTTTAGCTGTTCTTTCAGCAAATAGAAAAACACGCATTGCACTGGATTA